TATATATATATATATATATATATATATATATAATTTGTCAATGAGTTAGAACATTTGCTTTTTACAACCATGAAACCCAGGTTCAAATCTCAACATGGTTAATTAGTCAGTATGTTGAGATGATCTTAGCATGTGACACCTTTGGAAAGTGCTTGAACACCATACCATGGGTTGACCTAAGCCTTTGTGAGCAAAATTGGATAGACAATACTATTTGGTAGATGTCAACGACTGTGCCAACACAAAGTCATAAGTCATTGGTACCATGTGTTTGAGCATACTGGCTATTTTTAGGCCATTTATCACATCTGATAATGTGCTCTCTCCCAAAAACTGTAACTAAGGTCCACTCAGCATAGTTGAAGTATAAACCACAGGTGGGCTCTGTGGGTCTTGAACAGATGCAAATGTGCCTGGGCAGCCGTCTGCAACAGGGATCAGCAAGCTGCTATAGTAGACGGGCATACTCGGATACTAGTGGCTAGCCAAAAAAAGAATATATATATATATATATATATATATATATATATATATATATATATATATATATATATACACACCCAAGTATATAATTGCTATATACGGAATGAATTCCAATAACCAACAATTACTATTCTTAAAAAGAGTGCTCAATACAAAGTAGAGCAGATATAAGTGAACTGATAAGACACTGGGGGTGTTGAAACAAAATGGCTATTTTTGTAGTGATTTTATAACATATTTATGTTATAATTTTTTTTTAAAAAATAATTATATATATATATATATATATATATATATATATTCAAATGAGAGAAAGAACAGATGGAGTAAAATTCCACTGTTCATTGCATTTACTTTTAAAAAAAGTAGAGCAATGTATTATTATTATTTTTATTATAAGAGATTATAATAAAACCATGTTGAAATTGCTACACAAAAACTTTCATGATTCAATATTTTAGATTGTACTTCTTCAGGCACTGCTAAGTAACTGGCGATTGAAACATGAAAGCCTTTATATAGCAATTTCAACATGTTTTTATTATAATCTCTTATAATAAAAATAATATATATATATATATATAAAAATATACTACTTCAAATGTTATTTTAAGTGGAAACCTGTATTTGAGTAAACAATCTGTTTATTTTAAACAGTATTTTGTTTACCTGCCTGTATATGAGAGAAAATTTAGTATAGATAATATGCTCTCCAGTATTCTGTTTAAAATAAATGAAGTGGCTATTGAAATCCTTTTCTCTTAGCCTTTCTATTCATTTATCTTTTTATTTCTCTCTTTCTATTTGCATATCTAGTATTCTATCTGATTGGCATCGCTTCCTTCATTGCTTCTCGGTCATTTGGCTCAGAGATGTTCAAATAATTTTAAGCTCAAGCCCCAGGGTGCCTTCCTCCCCAGGCAGTACCACTCATTCAGGAGGGGGCTGGGTTTATTGCCTGGTGCCTGAGGCATACCCGAAAGAGGGAGTGCCGAATGGGCTTAGGCAATTTTTCCACGGTATTGCTTTTAAACCTACTTTAAACCTCGACCTTGTTTCACATTCGGTAGCGACCTGTGCATGCTGAAAAATAAATACTTCCTTCATCTCTAAAACTCTCTTCCTCTCACACTATTTACCTGTCTCAATTATTTATTTTCTATGTCAACTTTTTCCACTCTTTATTTATTAATCACATTTGTTCTCTACTTTCTTTCTTCACCTCCTTCTTAACCTACCGATTTACCCAGCTCTCTCTCTCTCTCTCTCTCTCTCTCTATCGCCTTTTGCACCTCTCTTTTTCTCTACTGCATCTTTGCACTTCTCTCTCTCTATGCCTCTTTGCTCTTCTCTCTCTCACTCTGCTGCCTCTTAGCATTTCTCTCTCTTTCTCTCTATCACCTCTTTGCACTTCTCTCTACCACCTCTTTGTACTTCTCTCTCTCTACTGCCTCTTAGCACTTCTCTCTCGCTCTACTGCCTTAATGTGTTTTTCTTTCTCTCTCTATCACCTCTTTGCACTTCTCTCTCTCTCTCTACCGCCTCTACACTTCTCTCTCTCTCTATCTCTCTCGCTACCACCTCATTGCACTTCTCTCTCTTTTTAGCCTCTGTCTGTCTTTGGAAAAAACAAATGACCAAAAGCAGATTCCTAGTTTATTTTTGTTTATTTTTTTAAGTATTCCACTCCAAGCAAGGAGATAAAGCCACAAAAATGCAAGGGGTTACAGAAAGTGAGGGAAGCTGAGAAATCTTATTGAGAAGAAAGATCAATAAAAGAACAGGATTCTCAAAGGCTGAAGATGATTGACATTAAACTGGAAGAGAGTTCCACAGGTGAGAAGTGAGAGAAAAGAAACCATTAGACTAGAACTTACAGTTAAAACTAACAATTTCAACAATAAGATGATGAGATCTAGCTTTCAATTTAGAACTATGTTTAAATTCATAAAATTGACATAGCAAAGAAGAAAGCTTATCAGAACAATTACCATGAAATTTTTTATAGAAAAGGCACAGAGAAGCTAGGTTTCAATGGTGGGAAAGTGACTGAAACCAAGATGCCAGGTCATGGCCAATGATATTGCAGATTCTCCTTTGTATTTGTCAAGAATTTGTAGTTATCTAGCAGAAACACTAGACCAAATGTGAGAGCAATATTCAATGCATTGTCAAATCGTAGATTTATCAATGTGTTAGACAGATCCTGGCCATAAAAATTCTCAAGCACAAAACAGTAAACCAATTTTCCTAGCAGCTGATTTCGCAATTGATTCTATGTAAGAGTTCCAATTTATACCAGTGGAAAGGTTTAGACTGAAAGGGTAATGAGTTAATCTCCTGGAGGTTAGCATAAGCCATGCTGATGGGAGGCAATTTAAGTCACCTAAGATTTGAAATTTCTAGGGCACATAGTGAGGAAAGAGGGATTGGAAAATTTGATACTCACAGGACAGATTGAAGTCAAGATGGACAAAAGAAAGCAATGCATAACCTACCTAACTTCAGTAAATGGATGGTGGAAAAAGGTTTAGGAGACAAAAAGACAAAATTTATTAAGCATTAGAAAGGTCAAGACCTTTTTGATGTGTTCTGTCTGAAGACAGGAACACAAATTCTTTTATCATTTCATGGTAAGTAAGGCAAGGCAACAAAGCCACTAAGACAGATGGTTACTGAGTGTGAAAGAATATAAAAAAATTATTAAAGATCAAGAAGAATAAAAGAACAGAATTTAAGAAGACAGATGATAATGACTGATATTGCATTTGAATTTTTGAAAATCAAACTTAACTGGAAAGCAAGAAGAGAGTTCCACAGGCAAGAAAAGAAACTGTTAGCATAGAACTTACAGTTACATCTGCCCATTTCAACTGTAAAATGATGAGATCTAGTACTGTGTTTAAATTCATAGAGTCTAGGTACCAAAGAATTCATAGAGTCTAGGTACCATAGAACAATTATCATGAAGGTATTTATGGAAAAAGTGCAGAGAAGATACATTACAGCAGTAGGAAAATGACTGAGACTGAGATGCCAGGTCAGGACCAATGACATTGCAAATTCTTCTTTGGATTTATAATCTTTCCATTTCATGTCAGTGGAAAATGTTAGCCTGACAAGGGGCAACAAGTCACTCTCCTAGAGATTGAGAGATAGAATGTAGTTTGTTGACCCCAAAGGCAGATACTACACTCAGAACACAGTCTGAAGTCTGGGTAAAGGTGGTGCTGAAGGGTAGAGAGAAAAAACATGCTTACAGAAATAAGAGAAAAATGAAATAGCTCTGTGGTGGGGGGGGAGAGGGAGAAAAAGAGAAAGATATCTATGAAGGGCAGAGAGAGTTGGTAAAGAAAGAAAGAGAGAAAAACAGAAAAAAGACAAGTGACAGACTAAGATAGAGACAGACAACACAGGTATAGAGACTAGGACTAAAAGACATGAATTAATTGAGTAAGCTAAAAGAAGCAGTGAAAGAGAATGGCACCAGTAGAAACAGATGGAACCACAGGCTGCATGTATTTAGAGAAAGAGAAACAGAGAGGATGAAATTCAAATTTATTAAAAATAAATTGAAAAAAGAAAGAGAAACATTTATGAAGAGAAAAAGACCTGCTGGCAAACAAGTTAAAAAAAAAACATTCTCCTCATAAAACTGTACATGGTAAAACAAGGAATTTGCTTGTATGCTATTTTATTTTATCTGTCTGAGAGTTTCATCAGGCTTGAGGTTATGAGTGGAACTGGAGAGATTCTTGTAAACATCAAGATGAAGCATTATTAGGATGAATGGGTAACACTCAAAGAGTGTGAGCTATCCATTCTTTGAATTCTTCAGACACAAAACTTAATCTAGAAGAGGATATTACTCGCACAAAGGCACAAGCAATAAGAGAAAGACAGAGAGAGAGAGATAAAGTAAGAAGTCTAAGTAAGAAAGATTCGAAGCCAAAAATGAAAGCAAGTGATATAAACAACAAAATAAGGCAAGTAATAAGAATAAATGTGTATGAATGTGTGGGGTGAAAAAAGAGAAGGAAAGAAAGAAAAAGAACGAAAGAAAGAGAGAGAGACAAAGTAAGAAATCTAAGTAAAAAAGATTCAAAGGCGAAAAAGAGAAAATGATGTAAACAAAGAAAAGAAGGTATGTAATAAGAATAAGTGTGTATGAAGGTGTGGATGTGAAAGAAAGAAGGAAATAAAGAAAGAGAGACAAAGTAAGAAGTTTAAATAAGAAAGATTGAGAGGTGATAAATTGAAAGTGATATAAACAGAGAAACGAAGGAAACCTAATAAGAATGAGTGTGTAAGGAAAGAAAGTGAGAAACAATGAATGAAAGGGAGAAAGAGAGAGAAAGTAAGAAATTTAAGTAAGAAAGATTGAGAGGCAAAAAAGAAAAAGTGAAAGTAACATAAACTGAGAAAAGAAGGCACATAATAAGAATAATAAGTGTGAAAAGAAAGAAAAAGAGAGTAAAAGTAGTAGTAAATGAACAAAGTAAAGAGAGAAAGAAAAGCTGGGGTTGCAGATAAGCACAAAGAGAAAAAAATGTGAAAATAACAAAATGATTTTCTCTTTCATTATTCATCCTTTACTTCAATCCTCATTTCCTTTTGTATTGACAGAATTTTCTAGTGAGGCAAGAAATTTATGAAGTTATGAATTTTTGATTAAATAAGTCTACAAAACTCAGAAAATAGAAGCCATTTTTTGTAGGAGGATGCAAGAAATTTGGGCACAAATGCCAGTGTAGCTTGACTAGTCAATAGTATCATTCCCAAAGTATGCAGAATCAAACGAAAGGATATGAAATGGGTACAAATTCTCTTATTGGTAAAATTATGATTAATGCATTTACTTCATGCATATAAAGTTTTCTATTGCCAAAAACAATCTTGTATAAAATTGCAATGTTATCATTATACATTACTAAGAAGAACACAGAATCCAATCTCTCAAAACATAAAATTACATTTTATTCAACTTCAGATTTTGACAATTACTTGACTAGCGGGTGTTTGGTTCCAGGGCTTTCTCTGAATGCAGATTCTATATTCTTGCCAGGATGTAAGAGATTCTCCTTTTCTCCCTCTCAAGTGGGTGTTTTTATATCTACCTGTCATAGACTTTTTCCCATGTCCACTAACCAGTGAAGGCAGCTTCACACTGACACCATATAGACATAACTAAATACATGCCATATGATTATTATTTTAAATAATATGAGAGGTTAAAGCCTTTATTATAATAACCAAGGATTTTCCAACAATATACCATATGTGTTAGTAAAACTCTGAATATAAAATTAATCAAAAAGGAATCAAAAATGCATTAGCCTATTTATCACTGTTTCTTGTGGAACCCCTAATGACCACTTGTGGAACCCTGGAGTTCTGGGGAACACCAGTTGAGAATCACCTCATATGAGTGTCCTGACTCAGCTGGAATGGGAAGTAATTTGTTCTGTCTGTTCAAAAGAAAATCATGATTAGCACTATAGGACTTGTTAGCAGTCTTTACATAACAAAAAACATTCATGTGCTTAGTAAAGTGTTTAGAGCTTTTTCAACCTTTCTTTTTATCTAAAAGTACCTGAAGTTTTTATCCTGTGTTTGTATCATCTATTTATCTTCTGCTGTTAAGAGTCTATCCTGCAAGGAGTTCTCTTAATATTACCTTGCTGTAAAGGTTAAATAAATCTGGCGAGAAGATGCACCCTTGTCTTTAATTGAGCATGTACTGGCCATTACTATTGAAGTGAGTTTGATCCTCAGACAGGTGGCACTGTGCTATACTAAGTTGGATTCCATCATCATCATCATCATCATCACCCCCATGACCTGATGGGGCTGTAGGGTCACTGCACAGCTGAACACCTGACTGGCTCCCTCCACAAATCTGGATTGAAAGCGGGAAAAGCATTCATTCATATTGTGTCTTGGGCAAATATACCTGGCAGACCCCATCCTTGCTTGAAGACTTGCTTTGTTCATGGATCATGGCCATTGATTCAATCAGGGAACACTCTGACGTGACCATTGACTTCAGTGTAACAAGCTCTCTGCCCAGAAATGCCGCGTCACCACCCACACTGGATGGATACATAGTTATGGAGCTCACTCTACCCCACTGTGCTAGGTGGCCACTGACTCTACAAGATGGTTCTAATCCTGCTGGATGTCTATTCACTCTTCTCAACAAAAAAGCCTGGTGAGGGAACCTGTTTAGTTACTGATGACCCTACCATGTTCAGATAGTACTGGGTTACATGATACCAGTAACACTTGTAAAATAACCTAACATAATTTGCATATACATTTTAAAACTAAGTCTGTTATATTCTTTGCAGCTCCTCACTTATTCATTCATGCATAGTGTGGCTTGGGCAAGTAGAGCTGGTGGTGCCCTACTCTCTTCAGGCAAAAACCACACTCAAGGTCCTCCAACTTGAAGGCTTGGATTGGTCACAGACATGTGGCTGTTGATTCTACTAAGAGAACTTGGCTCCCTGGCCGTTGATTCCAATAATGCAAGCCCTTCACTTACAAAGCCATGTCATCACCCACACTGGTTGCATCCATAGCTATGAAGCCCAGTCTACACCATTGTGCTAGATGGAAGCTGATCCTACAAGAAAGTCTAACCTCCTTTTGACAGGTTTCGTTTTCAATCCTGCTGGGTGTGTAATCACTTTCCTCACTAGAAAAAGACTGATTGGGTAAATAGTTTAGTTGACAATCACCTGGCCATGTAGCAGGTAGTACAGGGTTACATGTTATATCAATTGTAATGTGACCTGACATAACTTCATAAATATCATTAGACACAGGTTTAATTTTTTCTGAAGGCAATGTAGATGATAAGATCACACTTCCATATATTGATTTAAAAACTGGAAGTTAGCTGTAGCTGTTAATGCAAAGAGTGAATGCTAGCAGAATAGTAAATAATATTGACCCTTTGTATAAGTGACCATGTACTATATTTTGACAAGATTTCTTAAGCGGTAAATAAAGAACTAATAATTTTTCCATATGCTTCATTCACATATATATGAAATGATCAATTGCAAACTGATGCCAATGTTTACCAAGGCTGTCCCAGTTTTATCGAGGCCAAGTTAATATTTGAAATTCAGTCAAAATGAATTCATCAAGATCTGATGTAATATTCAAAGATATTGCAGTATGATAGAGTACAATAACTTTATTGTTATTCTCTCTTTGTCATTTTTTTCCATCAGATAAGGCAAAGCCTGGGGTACTCTTAAGAGACTTCCCCAGAAAATCAAATTTAGTCTTTTCCACGCAGCTATTTTTTTTTCTTCGTTTTTTTACATTGATGCTCACACTGTACAAGTCCCGAGAGCCACTCGAGGTAGAGGGTTAAAGAGTAAGAGGTAAAGTTTATGGGGATATATCCGGGGAAGATAACAGTTAACCCCAGACTTGAACAGGTTAAGATTGTAGTGATCAGGGAAGCAGCCGCTTGTGTGTTTTGTTTGTTGCTTTTTAAAATGTCTCTTAAAAAACAACACAAAAAACGCATTGGTTGTTCATCATAACAAAACTGACCACAATTTTGACATAAAAAATGCTACTCTAATCAAAAGAGAAAATAACTCACTAAGATGAAAATGTCTGGAAAGTGGTTTAATCATAGTTCAGCCACAGTAAATATACGTCCAGGTTCTTACAAAATTTAACCATTCTTGGCAGATTTTCTGTTATTGCAATGTGGGATATTTAAAAACAAAGATGATGGAAAGAAAAAGAAAAAGAAATATATGAATTTAGCTAGATTGCAAAAAAAATTTTTTAATTCTTTAAAAATTTTGAAACTACCAGCATCTCTCATTCATGAACATGTGTAGTCATAACAAAGTCAACAAACACAGTCCATTGAAGTGCTAACAGATGAAATGTGTCACAAGTAAACTTTTTCCATTTTGTCTTACAATTTTCTCAATACTGTTCTTGATATATAAAAATATATATTGCTATCTCATGTCATACATATATGTATGGGAAAACAATATAAGAATTTTTATATATCAGGTATAGTTTTAGGAAAATCTATGACAAAGTGTAAAAAAATCAATCACTTGTTCCACAATAAATATATATCCAGGTCCTTAAAACATTTCAATTTTCTTGACAGATCTTCGATTATCACAGTGTGGGATATTTCATGACAAAAGTGATAAAAATATAAACAAACAAAAAAAATAAATCCTAAATGAAATTGGCTAGAATATATACCCAAAACATATATTTAAATAAAAAAAATATATTTAAAATTCAGCATCCCCTCTCCTTCATGCACATGTGTAATCACATCAATGTAAACATTACTATAGTCCAATGAAGTTGCAAAGAATGAAAAAACATGTCACACAAAAAATGTTTCCACTTTGTCAATAATTTTCCTAAAATATATATATATATATATATATATATATATATATATATATATATAGTTAATTGCTGATATCCCCTGACAAGTAGGCAGAGTGATTTCTGGAGGGTCTATTTATGAAATTCTAGATGCTGAAGGTAACACCAATCAGTTAAGCAACAAAATTTATATTTGTATTAATTCTTTCTCTCTCTCTGCATATATATATATATATATGATAGAGTAAGGGACCAGTAGGAAACATTTATAAATTTAAAGGCCTAAACGTGATTAAAATTTAAAAGAGAGAAGTTTTAAAAAAAGAAGTTAATGGTTTAAATGAGTGAGATACAGATAAATATTAATTATTTTCAGATGCATAAAATCACTACTGATTTGCTAACCAAAAATTAAAAAACAGACACCAGAAATGTGTGGATACATTTGTAGTGACATTAGGCACAATAAAAAATCATAGGATCTAAACTTAAAATCCAGCCAATTCATACTGCCGATGTATATATGAAAATTTTCCATCTGGTTTGCATTTACTAACCTTATGTATACATGAAAAGAGAAGATGAGAAAGAGGAAGAAAAAGTTAACCAAAAATGGTGGGGATGAGAGCAAACTAAAAATGAGGGTATTTATAAGAGAAATGATGTGTAATCAAGAATACAAAGCATGTAATATCTCCTACAGGTAACAAATTTAACATAAACATATAAAAATATTTAATCCAGTAAAGACCTACTATTTATATGCACAAAAACACATATCCATATACACACATACACACCTACATATATATTCATATGCACACACATATATATATACACATACACTTACGCATATATATACACATACACATATACACACATAGACATACACATATGTGGACATAAACATATATACATATATAACCATACACATATGCATACATATAACCATACACACATGCATACATATACATACATACACTCATATATACAAATATACAATATATATATATATTAAATATAAATTTAAAAAAAAAAATTTTTTAAATTACAAAATTCCCAGCATTTCCTCATTCCTCATTTGTGAACATGTGTAGTTGGACCAACATAGCAAATTTAG